TATAGGGTTGTTTTCTTCAATTCTCATCGTCAATGCATCAAAACGACGTTTTGTCATTTATCTGTCTGCATGGGTATCGACTGATATAGTATGGAGTTATGATTCAAACATTAGTTTCACGTCTGTTTACTTGTAAATCAATATTCACAGTTTTTATGGAAAACAATCGCGATGCTAGAAGACTTGTTTAATTTCTAAGTTGTTTCTTAGCTCGTTAATATTAGTCTACTATTCTCCAGAGATGCCTTTATTGAGCAATAAATGCCCACTGCGTATTCCTGTAACAACTTACGAAACAACTTAAAGATTAAACAAGACCTCTAGTATCTCGAATGTTTTTCATAAAAACTGTGAATATTGATTAATAAGTAAACAGAGGTGAAACTAATGTTTGAATCATAACTCCATACTATATCAGTCGATAGAGCTCGGGTTGGTGCTTGCGATCACAGTTNCCTGATTGTTGGTTGATTTCGAAAAATTTATCATTATATTCTTATGATTGTATTTTTATTATAACAAGAGAAGATGTCTTTGAATTGTATGTCATTTGAAAGGCTGTCATGAGCACTTAAAGTTCATATAAAATACATTCGGTTAGAGATTTTTTTTGTTTGCAGATGAACCAACTTATCGCGCCTCAAAACTTATGAAACACCGTGTATGGACAATTTCCGATAAACAGCAAAGTGACGAAGGAGTTCGGTGATCGGATAGAAAAAGGGTGTAGTGTGGGTGTGGGTGTGAGAGAAGACGCTATCAACATCCACACCCTTCTGTTTCATATGCAACATTATCATTGAGAACAGCTTATGCAGTCTTGATAGGATCTTGAGTGACATCATCAGAGGATCCATTATAGTGTTCTAAACAGAGAACACTATTTGCTCACCATGCTTGGTCATCTGTAAATCTAGTATGAACATGGCTGCTTTGCTTTTTAGCTGTTGCAATTGCAGTCCATCGTGTAGCGAAATATAACTTAACCGTAGCTAACAAAGAAATTGTTTTTTTGCTTACCTGTGCTTCTATTTTGATGGATCTAGCTGTTCCCTTCATTGTATTAAAAAATTCAGCATATGTCCATAAGCCTACTCCACTAGGTCATAATATACTATGATCTCCGTCTGACCATAGACCAGTAGTTCCATCACAATTATGCCAATTATTAGCTAACTGTGTGGCAATAGCGTATGGACAAACACCACCTTAAAATTTACCTGTACAAACGGAACGTAATGTTTCGCATACATCATTGGCAGGTAGACTACTATTTGTAAAAGCAATGGTTAGAAGAAGAACAAGACTGAGTAAATTTGATTTATACATCTACACTGAGAAAGAAAATGTTATAGATGGATCATATTTGCATCATATTGAGAAAAATACATGAGTGAGCGAAATCCCTAAATGAAGAAATTCTATAGACAGAAATAACACGTGGAAAATGTTCCTGCTAAAGGAAGAGCATAGAAACGATAAACAGACATTATAATCATATCTAATATCAGCTAATAGGCAACTCCACATCATAAAGTCGTTTTCACTGGATAATTCCTATAAAAATATTTAAGAAAAAGCATTTTATCGCAGCCAAATCATCAAACGAAGTTTCTCGTTGATTATTAAATCAATAAGCTCTAGAATCCACTGTACAGTACTTCTATTGTCGTAAATCAATCTGATGTACTTCTTAGCTTATCGTCGATAAAGACAGTTAACTATTACATTACGCTGTCATTCAGATTTTTTATGATATTGTTTATGATCATACACATTGAAACGAACAATTACGCATATATACATATATACATTGAAATTTGTAATCACACCAAGAGTCAAGGCATGATTCTTCTAGTGCTTTGAGAGACATGAACGAATCATCTCGTTTTGCTCTACTCCGATATAATTCAACTTGTCTTTGTTGATTATGATGCATTATGCATAAGGAAAAGAATTGCGCTTTTGTAATCCTTACTATTGATATTTTTTTTATGGCTTACACAATATACAGTTTATCACTACATCATCATCGAGGAAATTAAATCAAACAGTTACTCAGCGAATGATATGTCTGAATTTCAGACAATACCAAAAACGTTGTTCAAACGTACTTCAAAAAAATCAAATAATTTGCAAGAGATGAATAATTTATAAACTACACCTAACTGAGATCGATATATCAAGACTATGAAGATTTTTTATAATTTAGATAAGAGACAATTGAGAACGTATGAAATCGTAGGCAATCGATTCCTGTGTATCCAAACGTACATTTTCTATATAATTTTATTAGTTTTATAAGTAAAAATAATCGTTTCTTATTGTATATGATGAAAACCTTTCTAATTATCTCTTTTTTTTGATTTCGTAGTAATTTGTTATTCAGAATATGGCATTAGGAGATGATATTATATTATTTTTCTGTGTCGTTGGAAGATGAAAATGACGCAAAGCGTGATAGTGCTACATTGATACATACTTTGTGATGCAATTCTTATCTTACTTTTGCTGCTACCGATATGAGAATCAAATATACAGTGGCGGCTAAAATTATTCATACACTGAAGAAAATTTCGGAAGCACTGTATCTCCGCAAAGGTTAAATCTTTTGAGCTGCGGTTTTCGTCAGAATGTATAGTATGTATAGTGTACTTGTAGAAAGTTTCAGCTTGATCCACGATAAAATGATTGTTTTGGATAACAAAGAAGAAAAATTATGTGTTTCAGTTTTACTCAAAATTATTCATACAGTTCATATCAATAAAATATGAAAATATAGAACTTGTGATTATTTATTTGACCTGTTTGATCTCTGTGTCATCTAAAAACGATGTATTCTACGTAGTGATACGTGTTGTGCACTTAAAAGTGGTTTTCGGTCCTAAAAATAACGATATTGATAAATGCTGACTCATTAAAATCGTCATATTTGCATGCATCATTGTATGGACTGTATGAATAATTTTGAGTGAAACTGAAACACATGCTTTTTCTTCTTTGTTATCTAAAACAATCATTTTATGGTGGGTCAGACCGAAATTTTCTACAAGTACGCTACACATCAGGGTGGCCAGATCTTCTGATTTTTCAGAATTTTTCTGATTTTCAGCATCTTTTCTGATGGTTTTCTACTTTCTGATTTTTTCTGATTTTGAAGGTTCTTATTTTAATTGTCCTGTACGAGTTGAGAATCTGATCTGACGCCACATCGAAGTTTTGAAGCTCAGTCATGTTTAATTGCCTCTTTTGTATTTAATCTTTAGTTGATTTTTCCTACACCTCTNTTCCTCGGGACTCGCGTGGGATTCTCAGGAACTTCCTCGAGACTCCCCAGGGCTCTCGCCTTTTCTCAGTGCTTCCCTTAGGATTCCCGCGGGATTTCGAGTCCGTTACGTGACTCCCACGGGATCCTTCCAGGGAAAGTTGACTAGGGTATTCATTAATATATATATTTGTTGTATGTTCACATTTATAATAAAATATTTATGGACAATTTATCTTATCGATTGCTATAATATGAAATAAAATCCTATGATTAAGATGTTTCAATCCATAGAATATAACATTCGCTGTACTTTTATGAACAATGATCAATAGCATTTGTCTTCTGTAAAAGAATTTATAATTTTGTATTATTATAAAATTCATGAAATAAAAGAAAAACAAACAAATATAAATAAATCTAAAGACAACGTTACTATTTAGTTTATTCTTGAATTTCTAATGAGAATCTATTTGGGATGAATATATATCACGTACATTTTATTTTAATGTGATTAATCTTTTCAAATATAATTTTCCATCAAAAATACACAATTTTATAAAACATATTAAAAAAGACTTTAACGGATTTCGTCATTTATCTTTAATTATTATTAGATATAGTATTTTGTTTTCTAGAACAATTTATAATGCAACGAATGGTTTACAAGAAATAAACTTTTATGAAAATATTCATATGATAACAATTCATAAACTCATTATAAACCTAGATATATATATATCGTATTCATTGGCATTATACTCTGTAAGATGTTTTAAGATAAAATTATAAAAATTTTGTTTTTTAACTTATTGTGATAGAGTTGGAGATGCTCTTTTATTTTCTATAACAAATAATTTTCATCATTGTTTTTTTCATATATAAAACTAACTCTTTTATTATGTCTCGCTTATATCTTGACCACTTTCTATCCCAGTGTGTTTATTTATGTACCATAGAACAAGTAAATAGTAATGTGAAACTTTTTCAAAGATTGCACAATATTGGTCTCTATATTATTTACAGATAAGATCTTTCGACACAGCAGTGGCTCATTGTCAGCTAACTAGATTGTCTCCTATAATAACCTATTTGTTTTTTAAATTAATGGACCCGATATATTGACGATATTTTAATTATACTCAATGGTTCTATTATAAATTTATATATATATATATCAATAATCAATGCTGTATCCCTAATAAACTGATGTAAATAACTCCTTTATCAACGAAAAATAAATTTTTAACCATCAGACTTTCGAGGGAAGATATAGAAATAGAATTGTAGTCAAGAAATAAGCGAGTTACAAGGAAAGGCCCAGTTTTACGTATGAAGAAAGTAATGATGAAAACTATCGATTATAGAAAATTGAAGAGCACCTGTAATTGTATCGAATTAAATTTAAAAACAATATTTTATAATTTTATCTTAAAACATCCTAAGGAGCATAATGTCTATCAATACGATATATATATATATATATCAAGATTGATAATGAATCTATGAACTGTTATCATATGAATATTTTCATAAAACTTTATTTCTTATATATCATTCGATGCACCGCAAATCGATACAGAAAATCATAAATATGATGTCCTGGTTCAAGATATGTCAATAAATCCGACAAGATTCTTTAATAAACTTTGTAATGAACAAAACCAGGTATAGTTTTATGAAATCTGTACACAACACTCGTTTAAATATATATTGATTAACCCTGTTATGAAAGTTATTTTCTCGAAATAAAGAGTTTTCGCTTAAAAATTTGAAAATCGGCCAATGCCATTTGATGATTTTGTGCATTTTTACAAGTTTCTTTTGAGTTTGTTTTCATGGAATATTTTCCTTTAATTGAAGATTCTTTTCTACATATCAATGTTGATAAATAATTTTTAATATTATATCGTTTCACCCATATAAATAATAATAATAATAAAAATCTAATTACTGAAAATGTTATAAATAATCCACCTACTGCTTCAATTCCAATTGCAGTTGATGTTGTAGTTGAATCAGGACAATTCTGTATTTGAAACCATTTTTGTCTTAAATTATCAAGATCACCTGATTCTCTTAATGATAATATATTAACATCTAAATCTTGTGCATATAACCATTGTTTAGGAGTAACAATACCAAATACACCTGTATCAAAACCATCTCCAACTAAAGTTAAATTACAATAAACATTATTTGTCACATATTCAGCAATTCTTTCATCCAAAAACGATACGTCAATGGTACTCGCAAGTAGACTATCGTATAATTGTTGTCGAGATTTTAACGCATAATAATTTCTACTTCCTCCAGATATTTCTGATAAATAATAATCTTCACTAGCTGTACCTACACGAATACCAATACCATTACGGAGTAGCTGCTATTTTTCCATTTTTAATATCATCAATGCCAGAAATAACAAATTGTTATTTTGCTATTATAAGATCAGATGCTAAATTTGCAATATGTGATGCTACTAATATCAAACTTAAGATATATAAACCAACAGTTAAAATATGCCCAGCAGCTGTACTAACATCAAAATGTACACCATATTCAACAAAATTTTCAAAACAATACCATATACTCATTGTTAATTGAGAAACTATTGATCGATTTTGTAAATCTTTATTATCTTTTCTCTCTATAATACACATTAAAATAGCAGCATAGATACAAGTAGCGAAGACTCATATCCATAGATTACGTGAAAATGGTTTTAAGAATCCTCATAGATCAACATTAAGGACGTGGGTGTGGGTGTGAGTAGAAATGCATTTCCACCCTCACCCATCCACACCCTTTTCAGTGAAACGCCGTCGTTACCCATTAGAAAATTAGAAAAGGAAATATGGAAAATCATCCGTTCTTCAAAAATCCAAACAATGGGAAAATAACAAAAAACAGCTATCGATATTGTCCAAAAATAGGAACGCATCATAAGTGAAATTCGACTTCAATCATAATCAATATATCAAATAATACATATGCTATCCATTGCAAAGATCTAGAATATGACACCAGTATTCTCATCAGGTCTAGAATTGAGAATGATTCAGAGATTACGAAGTAGACTCTTGAATTCAACAATAACTTTGCATGACGTGAAAATAGCTCAATTTTTTAAACGACGTCCATTATTTTTGACGATTAATCGTGAATTATAAAATAGTCGCTTTTGTTTTATCGTTCAATCATTAATGAAATTCACATTTCTTTTCAATCATGTAATCAAACCAAATTCATGTAAGTCATATGATTGCTATTATCTGACATATTCACGATCTACTATAAAAGAAAAAAATTCTCTATTGTTTATCGTTGATAAATTGAGAATTCGTCTCAGAATTAGACTTTCGATAACAGTGCATCGATTTCAATAAACTTAAGGTACACAAGAAACAACACTAATTTGCCATGTTGCTGAGTCGCTTTCTTTTCCAAACGTTCTGATACTTTATAAAGAGAATAGCAGTAGCAAAAAAACTATGTTGACTAGATTACAAATGTTAGGAAAAATTTGAAGCAACTATCAAATAGTTGGATAAGAGAATACAACTATAGAGATAGAACTCAAAAAGAAAAAGCTCTTCAATTATCCATATTTCACAAAAGATTGGAGATTATAGAAGCAATTTATCCGAAAGTGGGATAAGCAAATCAAAACATGGAAACGATAAATACGGGAAGAGATCGTTTGATTCATGCTGCTGATACAAATGTTCAGACATATGAGACATGTGTATCACTTCTTTTCGAATTTTCGAATGTAATGATATTTAATTATTGAGTTTAGATCGAAATCAAATTCTCACTCTCACATACAATGACAGCAAACGCGAAGAGTCGAGAAGGAAACAAAAACTAGCTCACGAACAGTTCGCAACAATAGATGGTGATAGAAGAATTGAATGTTAAAAAATATTTTCACATCAATTAAACAGTCAGATGACATGATTGATTAGCAGTGATCAGATGTTTTGTTTTCGTTTTCTTAAACTCGTTTTTTAATTCGAGTGTGCACTTACAAAATAATCGATAGCAATTGTTTTTCTTTGTCGAATGTCAACATGATGTGCGTTGCAATAGTCATCCATTTCACTAAGACGTTCGTTATGACGTTTTTCCTATGCAATCAACTTCAGAAAGTAATTTTGCTCGACTTCTTAATAATGTGGCTAAGTATATCTGATAAACATTCGAACATTTGAACAAGCCATTGTGTTTAGTAACGAATCCATAATTTTCTATGAATTTAATCTGTTTTTATTTAAAATCTTTTACATAAGTTACTTTTAGAAATCAATTGGTGTCAGTAAATAATAACTAAAATCACGGGTAAATAACTTTGAACGATCCTCAGGGAGTTTCTTCTCTTATTTTTTTACTTATGAAAAAAAAACTAATCATTCGATCGTACTTTATTCACGCAAAACAGTAAAATCAAAGTTTAAAATAAGTGAAAAGTAATGTGAAATCACAGTTCAAATTAGATGGTAGCCAGAATAACAAATGTGTTCATTTTTACATTTTTCTTATTTTTATTTTCCATTGATATTGTAGAGTGAATTGATGATTTTTTGGAAGCGTTGTCGCGCGACTACTCGTCGTGTCTTGAACGTTGTTGTGATTAGACCATTTTGTTGCGAGAATGACTCATGATGAAGATAAATATTGCTCATTGTTTCAAAATATTTTAATTTGTTTTCTTTAGCCAACCGCAGCAAATCAGTCATAATTAATTGTTTTAACTCATTATTTTTGCATATTTCTTCGAATGTTTTTGTTCCTGTCGAAGTAAAATTCTTTCGTACATACTCTTCATTTGGTACAACAATGGCCACTACTGTTGCTTCCGTTGAACAACCATCGATAAAGATTTGTGAAATCCATCGAGAATGAAGATAAACATCTTCTAGATGTTCAGGTGCAATATATTCGCCTTGATTCAATTTAAAAATGTGTTTGCTACGATCAATGATTCGCAATGTGCCATTAGCTGTCCATTCACCAACATCACCGGTATGTAGCCAGCTCGCTTCATCTATTGTTTCCCGTGTTTTTGTCTCATCGTCATGATAGCCTAGACAAAGAAAAATTCAAAATTTCAGAGCTAGAAGTACATGAAAATGTTTGACACTGATTCTCAATATGAAAACTATCTACGATTTGAAATTTCTGGCAGATATACTGTACGTACTTCTGTATAATCTATTGAGCATAGAGAAAAAAAGACACATTTGAATTATCTACTACCTTTTACTGAGTAAACAATCCGAGACCTTGAAGAGCAGAAAAGCCACTCAATAAAATAGAACTTGCCTTTAAAAACACTAGGTCCACGAATACAGATTTCACCTTGATTATTTTCACTTCGATAATTCGTTCCAGGTACATCGATTAATTTGATTTCGACTGTGCACAAGGATGTGCCAACTGTTCCACATGACTTATCAATTATGTGTGTAGTTGTTGCCACACCAGTTGATTCCGTTTGTCCAAAAAGTTCATAGATTGGAATGTCGAGTGCAATACGAAAAAAATGTAATACATCACGTGAAATCGGTGCCGATGCAGATAACATTGCTCTCACTTCACCACCAAAAATTTGTTTCACTTTTCGAAAAATAATACGCGAGAGAAGCGATGATTTGTTTTTGCGCAATGCTTGTTCGACAAGAAATCGTTTCAATTTATTTTTATCGACTTCACTCATAACTTTATCGTATATCTTATTCAAAATGCGAGGCACCATATAAATACGAGTGGGTTTCACTAATGTATAGTATTCAAAGAGTTTGTCAGGAGTTGGACAGAAAGCGATTTGACAACCATGACTAATCATAAGCAATAATGCAGCCTGTTCATAGAGATGAGCCATGGGCAAAAACGAACAATGTCGATCTCTGTAGTTCATTAAGATACCGGCTCGTCCTTCACGATCAGCTATAGATTTCAATCCTGTCATGAAGTTGTCGTGAGTTAACATCGCAATCTTCGGGTCACCTACAATACATGTTAGATAGTTTTTCTATGTAATTTGTCAGTCTCCAGATGCAAGATAAAAATATTCAACAAAGTATTCTTGAAATTTAACATTATATTTCTTAACATTTTTCGAAGAGTTTCGAAATCAACGATACGAATCTGTGTTTTAGATAATATCAATTACAAACTGCTTGTGTTCCTAAGAGATCGAAGAAAGATGTATGTTCTTCATATTTCAGCAGGGATAGTGATTTATTTCGTGCCAAAATTCATTTTCAGCTGTTTTTCTCATGATCTACAGATCAGAGCACTAAAACCATAATTAATTTTACATACAATTTCTGTTTGCATTCAAGACGAGTTTAGACCGTTATGTCAAATGAACTTTTCACAGTTATCTCGTAGAGTCAGACAAAAATCAACTACTTTTCTAGAAAAACAACTCCGTTTTCAAAGTGAAACTGATCAGATCAATTCTATCGATTGAGTTTCATGATCTATTTGAAAACAAGAAGAGACAATAATATTTCTCACCGGTTGTTCCGCTTGTCAAAAGAAATGTAGAGATACTGTTTGGATCAATGGTAGGCCGTGGGCGTACATTGCTCTTATTCATTGCCTTTAAAATAGATGAAAAACTTCGGATTTTTCTATGTTCACCATCTTGTACTTCGTCCATAACAATAATTTCTTTGATTTGGTTATTTTCGAGCAATTGCTTTTCGAATGATCGAATGCGTGTCAAATTATCGACAACCAATATTTCTGATTGGGTCCTTCGGAGTGAATCCATTACTGTTATTGAATCGTAACTTGTGAAGAGACCAACCACAATAAAACCATACATGTAACAACCATATTCCACAATGGCATATTCTGGTCTATTGACTGACATTATGGCTACTTTCGAATTCAAAGGAATTAGTTTTGTTTCTGTCCATAAATAAGAACCAATGTAACGTGCTCTTTCTGATACCATTGAATAAGACAACCAGCGAATAGGTTCTGTCTTATTTTCCGATTGAACAAGACCAATACATGGACCGTCTTTCGAAAGAGTTTGACCATGATCTAATACATCACCAAGTGTACGCACACTGGGATAGATTGATTTGTAATATGACCAAATGTCAATATCCTTGTACAATGTACATCGACGAATATGTTCGATGGGGTCTATTTCGACTGTTTGATTGTCAATATCGATACCGTCGTCATACTTTAATCGACTGAGCGATGTGTGTGTTGTTGTGCTCATGGTTCGTTGCTAATAAAAAAATACTAACATCAAGTACTCATACACTAAGCCGTCAGTTCATGCAAATTACAACTAAACCTGTTGAGCTCGCTAATCGCAGATTTGGTTGGTTCTGACAGATATTAGAATGGCAATTCTTTAATAAATACTTATTCCACACTAGTCCAAAGATTATGATGAGTGGTAGATTGAAAAAAATGACTTTTATTGGGATTTTCTGAACCAGTAAATGATGACAGACTGGAATTTCTTTTACAAGTTGACTTTAGTGGAATCTTTTTGTAGAAGAATTCTACTGGTTGTTAGTCAAAAAGTCTTTGGATTTAGAATGTAAAGACAGGATTCACTGTCGGCATGGACTATATTTATACCTAATTAATGTTGAAAGAACTTGTAATATATGAATATGAATAGATCCAGAACATGATAATGATGATGCATTCACGGTTCTGTCTCAAACAAAAAAGCTTCGTAAACATAAGGCAATCGCACCGGTGCACGATCTCTATAGAGAGCGTTAGTTTCAATAGATTTCTGAATTCAGCAAGTATTTAACCTATTCGCCGCACATAGTTTCTTTCAAGAAATTTTCAACGATCTTTTTCAAATAATCTTAAAATTAAAGAGTTTATTATATAATCTATGAGACTTTATGCAATAATGTGAACTTCCTTTGATCGATTGATTTATGAACAAGATAATCAGGATAGGAATCATGGTTCAGTACATTCACATCTATTCTGGATATGCCATGTGCCAACTTTATTGCGATGCACCAATCGAGATATATTGAGCGCTTCTAGGGCTGAATTTTATATCACAACTCAAACGTGACTAGTTGCTTAGATTAAATCAAGTTCTTGCATTCCCAACACACAATCGTGTCATTTCAAAGAAGCGACTGTGAATATTCCTTACTATCGTAGGATTAAGTTAGGAAAACGTAAAATAACAAAGCCAATAATCTTTGCTTAAAAAACCAACATTGTTACCTGTTTTATCATCACAAAATAGTTTGATGTTGACCAAAAGGTAGGATGGACCAATCGAGCCGTTAATATAACGGACAAGTTGAATTCATTTTGTCTTGAAATGCGACTAAGAGAAGTGCTGATAGGAATCCTGAAGGATGTCACTCGACTTATTGCCATTCAGCAGGCTAGTCTTATATCGTTATTTGAGTCTAGAAAATAGTAAAACAACTATGTCAAATATGAATGTGACGATTTTAGATAGAAGAAGAGTAAGTGCTGATGGTATTACCCTTTATTTAGCTTCTCCATATCATAAATCGCATCGTTTATATCCACAACACGCGTTTATATACGCAACCAAGAAAGAGAGAGAAGGAAAAGATACAGCAAGAGAAAAGATAGACATAACAACAGAAAGATGAAAATAACAGGAAAGATAATTATGGAAGATGATATATGTATTCCTGCCAACAGAATAGACAACGAGCTAATCTTTGTTATGAAAGGATGAAGGACAAGAGATATGTTGACGAGGAAAAGTCAGAGAAGATAAAACGCGATGTCAGAACGCTCTCAGCCTAGAACGTTACACTCCTGCATCGAAATCAGACGCACTCCTGGGCGTCTGCTAGTAACAGCACAAGAAGGATTCGCGAATTAATCAGAGAAGCTATCACTACGAGAATACGAAAACTACGAGGAGAGAACCATGAGGCAACAAAACAAAAAAAAGGAAAAGAAAACAAACAACATATTTAGAGTTTGGCATGAATACACATGCAACATGTACAAACACACAATGCTGTTAGTTATCGTTTGATATATAAAAGTCAAGTGCAAGGGTCGCTTTGATGAGACAAGGCACCAGGCCATGGAAGGGGAACACTTCCAAAGCATTCTGCTCACGACTGAATCGACTAGTTGCTCAGCTATTCGATTGCAGTTCATTGAGGAGGTGACAGGTCACAACAATATAACACTGGCACTTGCAAGTTTGAATGTTGATGTCACCTGTGGGTGTGGATGGGTGGGTGTGGATGTTGGTGTGGTGCGGGTGTGTGCGTGGGTGTTAATAAACAGAAGACTAACGTCCACACACCCCACATCCACCACCCACACTCACCCACACCCACACCCACACCCACCCACACCCACATCCACACCCACACCTACCCTCTACAATCAATGAGCAGTGTGTGAGTTGGAGGATATGAAATAAATAAAAACATAATGTTTATCACATCGTGTAAACACTATCTATGCGTAACCAAAGTCTAAGCTCCTGATAATAACTTGATAGAAGTTCATACCTACACGAAAGGCGCAATCTGTAGAGTATTTGGAAATTCAGCAAAATCACATTGAACTATCGGGGCGACGATATTATTTTTTGATGGTTGATCACAATCCTCGAGTAAGACATCGTCTACATTTTCATATTCTGATATCTCTGTGATATCGATTGCATGCATTTATGGACGACGAGTCTTGTAGACACACCGAACGCTAATTTCTAATAAAGTTTGATTGAAATAACTTCTTTGAAATGCACTAGATGCACCATACACAACAAATCTATTGACGCCGAAATGAACAGTCGATTTGCTAACAGTTCATTCTTCTCGTAAGTTCAAAAATAGTTCTGACCCATTCTTAAACCTCAATAGACATGACCGATATAAGCATATCTTGATATTGGTAGAAATAATAGCATCATAGTTACATGCAGCAACTAACGAGGGAACATTCCCAAGTGTCACATCGCTTTTGAGTTCGGACTCTATGCATAAGGCAGACCCCAGTGAGGTATAAAAAATTCCTGAAGAATAAGTGCCCTTAGACGTTCTGTCTAGAGTTATAGGCATTTTACTGGAATTTTAGCCTTTGGCATGGTATATATCAACAAATAGGATGACGGTATTTCGATCTGAGATTTTGTCCACAGATAGATCTATTTGTGAGTAGAATACCCTGAAAATTTCAGCTCAAAAGAATGTTTTATTCCTGAGATTTTAAAGTCCCAAAAAACAGTAAATTCTAGCATCTTTCGTGGGATATGATTGATTTTTTGAACTTTAATATCTCAGGAATAAGACATTCTTTTGAGCTGAAATTTTCAGGGTATTCTACTCACAAGTAGATCTATCTGTGGGCAAAATC